GGCTTGATATTTTTCTTATTTAACTGGTGTTTGCACAGCTGAGACTAGATGCAAAACACAATAGCTGCAGTCTCTTTGCCCATCAGCAGAGAAAAAGCATACCCTGATAGTGGTAACGTTGAATTCTCCTTTTGAACCTGACACTTTACTTATTCAGTCTAAAAATGGCTCTTGAAATTAAGGTACTCTCTACTCTTGTAAATCCTCATGTCTTTATGGATTTAAGAGAGAAAATCCAAGTCAAGATTGAAGGAATCAGCTTGAATCTTTGAAGAGAATGTCTTAGTACATACCCTTTTATATCTGTCTTGTTTATGTATTTCTGTAAGTGGCTGATATGATTTATCTGTATTCTCAGTGTGGACTTATAGGAATAATTGTGATGCTGTGGAGTGGCAATGGATGGCATAAAGGTATTAATGAAATGTTTAAATAACAACAGCAATTTATTATTTATCACATACCTGTCACTGTACGAGGGGTTTTTCCTAATGTTATTTTTAGTTCTCAGAACAAGCCTATGTGCTGAACTATGGCTGATCATATTGGGCTTTGTCTTAGGACACCAAAATTAAGAGGGTGCAGACACTAAATATAATGATTTTATAAGCCTGGCACCTAGTTAGCAAAAATAATTATTTAAAACAAGAAGCTACTGGGCCAGCTGAGTGGCTCAGTTGGTTAAGAGTTAGCTGAAGAGTGCAAGCTCTGAGCAACCGGGCCGCTGGTTCAATTCCCACATGGGCCAGTGACTCTGTGCCTGAGCTGAGCTGCCAACGGGTAACAGGATGGCTCAGCTGGTGAGAGCGCATGCTCCTAACAACAAGACTGCCTGTTCCATGGTGGGCTCCGCCCGCCCGCAACTAAGACTGAACTCAGCACCTTGAGTTTAGAGGCCATGAGCTGCTTGCCGGGCAGTCAGATGGCGACTGGCACCCTCCACAACTAAGACTGAAGAACAGCAATTTGGCTGGTTCCCCTCCCCAATTCCCCAACACTGTTCCCCTCCCTCAACCCCCCTCCCCCCAAAAAAACACCAAAAAACAAATAAAACCCCAATAAGCTACCAGATAGTGAGCATTGTTAGTGACACCCATTTGGGGACTGCATTATGAACTACAGTGTTGATTAGAGAGCTGCTTTTTTTTTTTTTTAGTGTGTTCTAGGTGCTGGTTGACTCTATAAGGTAGATACTGTAATCCCCATTTTACAGCTTGAGAAAACCAAGATTTACATAAAGCAAGCATTTGCTCAGTGGCACAAGCCAGTAAGAGTTTCAGCCAGGATTTAAATCTGAGTTCAAACCTTGTCTTCTTTCCCTAGTGCCATAATACTTCTCACACATTTCCCCCTAATTAGGTTAGCTTTTTAAAATGGAGAAGCAACAAGTCTTCTCCATTATCAAATATTTTTAAACTGTATTTTGAGTGTTCATTCTTNATTTAACCCTAAAACACTTCATAATGTTACCACTTGATGGCACCAGAAAAATAAAAATCTTTGCTTCAAAACGAAGAGTTATGGATGCGTATTAGCAAATAACAAAAATATATCGTTTAGTTACTTTGTAATTATGGTGGTGAATTATTTCTCCAGCAGAACTTGATACCAAACCTACTAGACCTCTATCTTAAAGAATATAACCATTTAAACATATTTTTTCTATTTAATGTGGGCCTGTCTTTCTGAAACCACAATATCCATTCCTGCCCTGGATTGATTTTTGTTGTTACTGTGCTATCAAATCCAAAAAGTTATAATGTACTAATTGCTTTTAGCCTTTTTTGTTTATTCATAATGTGATCAATTTTTGTTCATACAGACTGTTGGCACCATAATCACAGAATTCTAATTTTAACCAAGTTGTAAAATAACCTCTGTTTCAGTCCTCATGGTTATACATTTAATTATGTGTCAGATGTAATGTCAGGGCAGTGCTTCTTGTCTGTGGATTATATTTAAAAGTATACCGGTCTCTTCCTAACAGACACATGGACATTATTTAAAAAAAATTTCCCCCCAGTTTTATTGAGATATTATTGACGTATAACATTGAATTAAAAGTGTAGAACATAATGATTTGATGCATGTATATATTGTTAAATGATTACCACAGTAAGTTTAGTTAACATCCATCATCTCACATTGCTATAAATTCTTTTCTTGTGATGAGAACTTTTAAGATCTACTCTCTTAGCAAGCAACTTTCAAATATACAATACAGTATTGATAACTGTAGTCACCATGTTGCACATTACATCCCTAGAACTAACTGATCTTATAAATCGAAGTTTGTAACTTTTGACCACCTTCACCTATTTTATCTACCCTCCACCTCCTGTCTCTGGCAACCACCAGTCTGCTCTCCGTTCCTGTGAGTTCAGTTCTTTTTAGATTCCACATACAAGTGAGATCATTCAGTGTTTGTCTTTCTTTGACTTATTTCCCTTAGTGTAATGCCCCCAGTGTCCATCTATGCTGTCGCAAATGGCAGAATTGCCTTCGTGTTTATGGTTGAATAATATTCCATTGTTTGTGTGTGTATGCACACTGCATTTTCTTTATTCATTTTATCTGTTGATGGATGTATAGATTGTTTTCTTGGCTATTGTAAATAATGCTGCAATGAACATGAGAGTGGAGATATCTCATCAAGATAGTGATTTTGTTTTCTTTGGATGTATAACTAGAAGTAGAATTGCTGGATCATATGATAGTTCTATTTTAATTTTTTGAGACACTGCCGTACTGTTTTCCATACTGCCTGCACCAATTTGCATTCCTGCCAACAGTCCTCAAGAGTTCCCTTTTCTCCACATCTTCTCAAATACTTATTACCTTGTCTTTTTGATGATAGCCATTCTGACTATCATTCAGGTGTGAGGTGATATCTCGTTGTGGTTTGATTTGGATTTCCCTGATGTTACGTTCCTTTTCATGTACCTGTCGGGCACCTGTATGTCCTCTTTGGGAAAATGACTAGTCAGTTCCTGTGCCCATTTTTTTTTTTTTTAAAGATTTTTTTATTGGGGAATTGGGGGGATGGGAACAGTGCTGGGGAAGGGGAACAGACAAGTTGCTGTCGTTTTTTGTTCTTCAATCTAGTTGTGGAGGATGTTGCTTCACTGGCCCAAGTTGGCANATGATGGTACAACTGTTTTGTTTTGGATGATATTGTAATAATGAAATTTGTCACCATTTGGAAGATCAGTATAAATCAGGGAACCAGTATTTTCAAAATGACCAATGTGTGGTGTTACAAACTCATGAAGGATAAAAAAGATCCATTCAGTGTGCAAGACAGACCAATGGATTTGAGTGTAACAGAAATAGAAATTTTATTGTTAGGAATTGATATTCTACACGGCAGCCTAGCTTTAAGAAACTAGCACTTGCCAAGTTCTGGTGTAATATCAAGAAACAATATCCACAAATATTTAAAAAGGCAACTAAAATATTTACCGCATTTTCAATTAAATATATATGTGACATTTTATTCAAATCTTTCAGTTATAACATATGACAACAGATTCAGTGCAGAATCAGATATAAGAAGCTAGTCATCTGTTAACAATATTTTCAGAAATATAACAGTGCCACTTCTCTCACTAAATATTTTTTGTTTTGGAAAATATAGTTATTTTTTAATAAAAATTATGTTAATATGTAATGGGCTTTAATGCTTAATTAAAACATTTTCAATCTATTTTCTAAATATCAAGATTGGTAAATATTTACAGATACAATCCACATAAACAGAATCTCTTTGAGGTCCTCAGTCATTTTAAGAATGTAAAGGGAGTTTCTAAGACCAAAAAGTTTAATAACCATTATTGTAGATCAAGCTCATTTACCATGAAGTCAGTTATATGAAATGGGAGGAGTAACTTTCATTGCTGAATATTTCAGTAGCACCTATTCATTTTCTGTTAGAAAACTAAGATGCAAATACAGACCAGCGCTCTCTCCAAAAGCTGTGGAAGAGGCTGAAACCAAAAATTCTGAAAATTCAGTTCTTAAAAAAGAAAACGAAATGACGTACATTTTGCAGATATAGACGGCTGACCTAAAAGCACACTTGTGAAGATACATTGTCTATAATTAGTTATAATTTAATGATAGCATATTATGCTTTATATGCATTGACTCTGTTCCTTATTTAAAGGCCTGCATGATAACACTATTAAGTAACTTGCTGTTGGTCACACAGTAAGTTTGAAGAGCTGGGTTTCAAGGATTTCTTTTTGTCTTCTCTAAAGCTCTTATTCTTTCCCCTTTATTATAATGTTCACAGCAGCTGTGTGTATAAGCTTCAACTTTCAATAAAGGGTTTACAAGATCTTGCGGTAAAGGCTGTTTTTGACAACGAGGCCAGATAAAGATTTTTCTTTAGTTTTAGTTGATAATGAAGGCAAGAAGATGGTCTTCCAGAGCTGTAGAGAGACAGTGCAAAAAATCATGAACTAAGCTGAAACAAATTGCTAGACACTGACTTCCATCAGTAAATTACAGCCTTCCTAATTGACTTGGATAGTTGAAAAAATGAATAGTCAGCATGATTTGTATTCTTTAGGCTGGTTCTCAGTTTAATATCTATTTACTGTTGTGATCATATTTCCAGGCTTCTCCAGTGACAGCGATCTGATATCTCTTACTGTTGACGTGGAATCCCTTGCTGAGTTAGATGATGGAATGGCTTCCAATCAGAATTCTCCCAGTAGAACTTTTGGTCTCAATCTTTCTTCGGATCCTTCAGCACTAGGGGCTGTTGCTTCTGACAGTGAGCAGAACAAAGCGGAAGAACGGGAAAATCGTAGCCTCTTTCCTGGCAGTTTAAAATCCAAGCTTGGCAAGAGAGATTATTTGGAGAAAGCAGGCGAATTAATAAAGCTGGCTTTAAAAAAGGAAGAAGAAGACGACTATGAAGCTGCTTCTGTTTTTTATAGGAAGGGAGTTGATTTACTCCTAGAAGGTGTTCAAGGTACAGTTTTATCTGTATTAAT